GATTTAATTTTAGCCAATTAAAATCTAATATTATGTTAGTCACGTGATTATCTATAAAAATTTTAAAATTGAAACATGTCTAGTTCCGATTCGCTTACCAATCTAAAAAGAGAAATTAAACGCTCGGGATTATTTCAGGCGAAAAAATAAAATTATTGCGCTACTTTACTGGAAACGAAAATAGGCGAGTTGACGCGCTATCATGCCTTGATGATTTGGACACGGAGGACGAGAAATGTACCTACTTAAGGTCTTTGATTTCGACGTCCGATATCCTTCCACCTTCTTGCTACCAAACACCACCCCAAGTTATTGTAGAAAAACCTGTTTCCATTGATAAGTGCTTTGAAATAAAAAAAGATATCAACTCTGATATAGATTAGTTTTTAATAATCCTTGCTTCGTCGTCATATTTTGTTGATAATATCGAATATTCCAAACTTATTCTGCTTTTTCTCCTCCATCACACAAACAGTCCAGCAATCGTTACCTTTTCAGGATGAGGATGCTGAAGCTGTCGTGGATGCTGAAGTTATTGTGAATCCGTCAACTTCTAGGAGTATTCCGAAAGACACTTACCTACCCGAAAACGCCTGCCAACTCCTTCGCTATTATGGTAAGATTTGGCAAACATATTATTTATTACTGATATTTCTTTACTTATGATTTCACCTTCTCATTCTTACAGAACTTTGGAACAAACCTTACGATAAATGGCCGAGTCTCCATGAATTTTCGGAATACCTACACTAAATAAAAAAAGAACGCGCCCATAATTCATTTAAAAAGGAGATCGAGGTTTTAAAACAATTATTTTCAGAAGATCACCCCGCACAACTACGTCTGGCACATTTAGAGGGTCAACTTAAGGTAAATGTTACTTGTTTCACTATGATACTAGGAAGATACAGTTTGAGGACTGATTATTCATGCAAGCTGCTTGCTTGTAGGCAAGCTGTTTGCTTGTAGGCGAGCTGTTTGCTTGTAGGCGAGCTTTATGCTTAGTTAGTGGGTGGATCCTCGTTTATATACTAGTTCAACACCCCAGAGGAATTTTCGTGTCTGATTGCACTTTAGCAAATAAAAGTTTAGAGAGTGTGTTCTCTTGCTACAAGGTGTATCCTTGCGTGGCGAGATGTTATCTTGTGAGAAGAGGTGCTCCCTCATCTCCGAAAGTGCAATCTTCCAGCTGTTTCACATGCTTTATGGACAACTTAATGTTTTGTATAACTATTTCCACATTTGTTAATAAACATATCATTTCATCAGATACAACAGACACCGCGAAAGATGAAGAAGATCCGTAGAATAAAAGTAGCACAATTAACCAAATTACTTACCAAGAAAGATGTCGTAAAAGAAGAAATAGAAATCGCGCAGGTAAGAATTTTTTTTTTAAAATTTTCCTGCTTTATGGTTATGGTTGTGCATTAAACTTCTCTCGAAAATTCTAGGATTCTGTAGTTCTTGGAGGATATCATCGAATCAACCAGCATTACAATGACTTTCATGAAGCAAGTGCACGACTTGTAAAGCGCCATCTATCGGATGGAAATGATGAAGATTTGAAAGATAAGGAAGTTGTTGGCAAGTCTGTAATTTTGAAAAAAAATAAAACGAGTTATAACTAGAATCCTTAGTTATTTTATCAGTAATAATTTGAATATAGTTAGCTTTGATTTTAAATGTTGTTGCTAGAATAAGTACGTCAATATATTAAAAAATGCAAGCTCAGAAATGAAATGAATAAAATAACTGATTTATATCACGTAATAAGTCAAACCGATTTGCGCCCATGAAAATATCACTAAAGATAGAGTATATTGCGAAGGCCGAGAAAGTCTATAAGCTTTTTAATAGCGATAGTATTGGTAAATCAAAAATAGCACGAATTAGATCTTTCCCCGAGAGATCTATTTTAAATTTGTCAGATAATAATGTTGACCGTATCATCTTAAGAGTTACATCGTTACTGCGCCACATTACTGCGCAACATTAGCGTTTATTTTTGAGTAATTAGTTTGTTCACTTTGTCCTTTTTTAACTACATTTGCGAAATTGATATGATACTGTGTAAATTAATCTATGCAAAAAATTATTCTAAAATTTTTTTATCTTTCACCTTGCGCAATTTTGACAAGCCCGGACACGGTGTCCAGACTATTCCAGCATAAAAAATAGGATTTCTTGTTTTTTTACTCTATATGCACTAATCAATACGTAATATAATTTGGTCGCTATACTACTTTGCTACATACTTCCAATAAGATTTCGAATAAAAAACCATGCTGACTACTGCGCCATGCGATCAATCCTTTTTTCTGCGCAATTAAGTCGAGCCCGGACACCGTGTCCAGACTCTACCATATGCACAGCGCCTTCGGTTGTTTCGGGATAAAATTAACCCCTTTTTTTTCTCATATTCATTCGAAAAAAGAAAAGATATCAAGGCAAGCTAACTGGATGCCGGCTTATATTTCACCTGCCAGGCAAGAAATGGTTTCGCCAATTTTACATCAATCATCGAATTGCAAAAGTAATACAAGTGAAATATTTATCTCGTCTCAGTATGCAAAACAAAATAACTTACTACCATCTATAAACCATCTTAATCAGCCAAAAGGTGCTACATTAAGATTAAGAAATGGGGTAGAAATCACGATTGTTGATTGAGAAATGATTTTTAATATAGACCATTACTGTCTTGATATATATCTTTATTCATATATATTTTTTTCTTAGCAAATTTCAGTGAACATTGTTCACCCAAAATCACATGAATTTTTTTTCTTGATGAAAGTTCCCAAATATTATCTTGGTCAGGGAGTATATTTGCCCACGCCTTATGCTAATGCATATAGGCATGTGCAATATCTGTTAAGATGCTAAAGCATAAATAAACATATTTCTGACCCTCGTTAAAGCTTGTGAAGTGCATTTATGATGTAATAGTAATACACTGCTAATTATCTGCATGAGTGTGACTATCTGCTTGTATGACAAAATAATTTCATTGACCCCAAAAAGATATTCTGAATTTTTTTCTCCTAGGAAAATAGCATTAATTAATATGTATATTTGCTTTGGAAAGATGCTCTATTTCTATATGAGGTCTACCCATTCTGACTGAAATATATTATATAACGTTGCTAAGTCATAGTATTAAACAGACTTACAAAAAAAATCCATATATGCATTACCCTTAACTTCTTTCTAAATGTCAAGATCTTCAATGCATATTTCTACATACTCTTATTTTCTAACACAAAATTTTGGCGTAAGAGTTTGTTATATATTCTCTTATCTTTTTTCTCTAATATTAATATAAGCCCAAAGAGACATAAATAGAATCATTTAAAAGGATAGCATATGAAATTTTTTGTTCAGGTTGTTTATTCTATATTAATAATACTAAACTATATTTTCTGAACTATATTCAAAATTTTACAATTTTTTAGTAACAGCTAAACAAAAACATATTACCGCCACCTCAATTATTTATCAGGGAATAAAAGAAGACTCTTGGATTTCACAAAATGATTTGAGAAGTATTGTGGATCAGGCTATAGGATTTGCTAGTAATTTGTATTCTGAAGAACCTTTGCGTCAATTAAAACTACTTCAAATACTTTCTCAGGTTAGTTGTTAACCTTTATTAATATTTTTTTTCATTAAATGATGATATTATGTGATCTACTCTCAGGAACAAGGCTAAAATGATAGTGTAATTATCCTATTAGCCTGCATATAAAGAAACTATTTTCTTGAACTATATGGAGAATGTTAAACTATCACCTATGTTTTTAATCATTCTATTAGCTCTGCCTCAAGAATAATTCTCAATGCATGAGGGAGTGGTTGGTCTATAGGATATTATGTAGTTATTTTAGTATCATATAAGGTTTCATCAGCGTGATGACTACACTAAGATAATAACGTTGTATATGTACTGATAGTGCATGCATTTTTTAATGATAAAATTCTTGTATTGCTAAAACTAATGCATTATCTATCATATTAGTTTGAAATCGCTTTTGAAGGAGTCTACAGTTTGCGTGATATATGAGCGGTTAAAACAAATAAAGAGATACCTCTAAACACTGATGAGATAAAGAAAAATATAAATGAGTTGAAGGCCAAATTCAAGAAAAATACAATGACGCTGATTAACTAGTATCTATATTTTGGTATAGATAATGTGAATATTGCTGAATTATCATGAAAGGACTCTTTAATTAATCAGGTAATTTCTGATAAGTCAGAAATTGTACAAAATCTACCAGGGCAATTTAAGCATATTTTATGAAATCAGCACGACAAATGGTACCTTCATCTCTCCCGTCTGAAAAGAAAATGTAATAAATTTGTTACTACTTTTATTGAGAATTGTGAAATTGATTTATTGAGAAAACTCATACATGATAGAATATGAAAGAAAACAGAAATAAGCTCGCAATAGTTGCAGAGAGAATTTTAGACACATTGTAAGTATTTTTATGATATTTTGTAATATCTAGTTATTTCCTACTCATTGCTTATTATTATATCTTTTTATAGATATTAGAAGCGATTCTTGGAATAATCCAGCATTTGGAACGAATAATATGAATTCTCTAAATGAAGGTAGTTATGTTACCAATATGCCTTCTAAGCAACATTAAAGAATCTTCCTTTAGGAAAAACCACATTCGTTAGCAGTTCTGAATGCCAAAGTAGTACCAGTATAGATAGAAAAGATGATGGATGTTCTGGAAAACAACCAGATATTATGTTTGTAATGAAACACAATAGAAAAAATTATGAACTTTTATTTCTGAATGCTCATGTTTGTTATGTACGATAAAAAAAAGAAAGAGATGATCAAGTGTAGTTATGGCGTGAGATTAATGATGGAATATACTGGACTCGTAAAAGTTATAAGCCTGATAAGGATGAATTTGAATATTATCAAAATACAAATAGCTGAAAAAAATTATGTTTGAGTGTTCTTATAAGGGATATGAGTGAGGTTCATTGATATTATCATCTTCATGAATCAGAAATTCCAGTTCAATTATCAGATCTATTCATTGTAGAAAAATTCGTAGAAATATTACTAATATTATGAAATATTCTGATCATTAATATGAGCATACTGTACAATGCACCTTTAAAAAGATCAAACTGCAATGTAAAAAAAGCTCTACAATTTCTTTACCTATGCGAGATAACTAGAATTCCTTAATATTTTTTCATGTATTTTTATTTTTTCTGTATCAATAAAATAACCCTGATAGTCGATTTCGCAAATATACATTTATATTTTTTTATGCTGAAATACCCCGGTCAAAATCACATGATTTTTTTGCTGACTAATGGTCGTAGTATCATGTAAAATTCTTGATTAGAGCTAATATTTCAAGTCAATCCACCAGATGTGTTACAAAACTGATGTATGAATTTATTAGTAAAATAAACCATTTTATTGCTATGATTTAATGGATATATTTTTGCACACAAACTTTTTTTGTGCAAAACTATATTTAATAAAATATTACATTCTGACTATAAACATAATTAATAGATTATCTGAAAGTCTTGTCAAGAGAGTGTACGAGAGACTTTTATACCATTCTAAAGATCCTATTCTATTAGAATCTATTTCTGAAAAGTCCAAATGAATTGAATCTTATTTCAAGCACATATTAGATGTTTATAAGAATTCATTAAATAGGAAATGCAAAAATATGATTCAGAAAAAATTACTATGTCCTCGAAGTTAGCCAGAATATAATGTATTTCCAGCATCACTATATGTATTTGTTTTAGATAATGAAATTCAAACTGATAGTATTACATGTGATCATGAGAAAGAAAATAATCATTGAGTTATGAATGAACTTAAAGTCTTATTTTAATATCTGCTTGACTATAATAGAAAGACTTTTGAGAAAATAATACAAGATATAGATAATAATTATAGAGAAAGGATAGTGCAAATAAGAAATTATGCTCAAGGTCAAAGATTTGAAGATGCAGGTACAAGAGGCAGAAAAAGAGCTAGCATCTATAAAATTGGATTCTACTCACTAGCTTGGACATTTTTTTTTCAAAAATTTTATCCTATCCAGCTTATATCCTATGAGGATGGTTTGAAGGCACTGTTAAATCAAAGACAATAAAATTGCAATCAATCAAATAGTTAACGATATCATCATATATACTAGGGTTCCTCAAAATCGAATTGAATCAAATATTTAAGCAATTTGAATTTGATTTGATTTTTTCAAATTGAATTGAATTGAATCGAAT